AATCAGTGTAACCGTGTTATATACACGACGCAGATACTGTTTTGTTGTTTTAGAGGATGATTTTAATCAGAGTAACTGTGGTATCTACATGTTACAGATACTGTTTTGTTGTTTTAGAGGACGAGTTTAATCAGTGTAACCGTGGTATCTACACGTTACAGATACTGTTTTGTTGTTTTAGAGGAGGAGTTTAATCAGTGTAACCGTTGTATCTACATGTTACAGATACTGTTTTGTTGTTTTAGAGGATGAGTTTAATCAGTGTAACCGTGTTATATACACGACGCAGATACTGTTTTGTTGTTTTAGAGGATGATTTTAATCAGAGTAACTGTGGTATCTACATGTTACGGATACTGTTTTGTTGTTTTAGAGGAGGAGTTTAATCAGTGTAACCGTTGTATCTACATGTTACAGATACTGTTTTGTTGTTTTAGAGGATGAGTTTAATCAGTGTAACCGTTGTATCTACATGTTACAGATACTGTTTTGTTGTTTTAGAGAATGAGTTTAGTTGTGTTAGAATGTGTTTTTGTTTTTTCACTTTAGGACTATGGAATCTGGGAGCGAGGAGACAAAACAAACCATGGATTTCCGGAGTTAAATGCCAGTTCAATAGGCATGGCTAAGGTAGGACTAAGTATCTATATTATTTAATAATATTTTAGTTTAAGTTTTAATATTAACCTAGCTCTTAATGACACAACAGAAGAATAACCAGTGATCCTAAGAACAACTTTGTTTATGGTACCCTGCACAAATCGTTACTGTTTTCCTTTTAATCGAACATGAGATTTGGAGACTGAAGACTGACTTACTAATAGATAGGACAAAAACTAATTAGCAAGGATATAAAGGCCTTGAGATAAGTTTATTTTTTTTAGCCTTTTTCAGATTAAGAACATTGTTATAAATGATGTAATTCTTATATTTTCAGTGATCAAGTCATAAACATTTTTTTGTCTGACTTTCTTCTAGCCTAGTTTTGTGGGAGAATTATTATTTTCTAACTATCAGGGGGTTGTTTTATAATCTGATTTTGATGTTTTGTATGATGAATAAACAAACATTAGTTTTAAATTAGGAGGACTGGTGTTGCAATGGTCCTGTTATTTATACTATAGATTTATATTTTCTTACTTAGCTTTTAAAGTACCTTTCTTAGCTTCTGAAGAGTCTTTTGTTAAATATTTGGTTAACAAGTACAGAATAGCCAACGTAAACTACATTATTAACCAGTCAGTCACAGATTTGGTTCACAAGTACAGAATAGTCAACGTAAACTACATTATTAACCAGACAGTCTCATATTTGGTTCACAAGTACAGAATAGTCAACGTAAACTACATTATTAACCAGTCAGTCACATATTTGGTTCACAAGTACAGAATAGTCAACGTAAACTAGATTATTAACCAGTCAGTCACATATTTGGTTCACAAGTACAGAATAGTCAATGTAAACTAGATTATTAACCAGACAGTCACATATTTGGTTTACAAGTACAGAATAGTCAACGTAAACTAGATTATTAACCAGACAGTCACATATTTGGTTCACGAGTACAGAATAGTCAACGTAAACTATATTATTAACCAGTCAGTCACATATTGGTTCATAAGTACAGAATAGTCAACGTAAACTAGATTATTAACCAGTCAGTCACATATTTGGTTCACAAGTACAGAATAGTCAACGTAAACTATATTATTAACCAGTCAGTCACATATTTGGTTCATAAGAACAGAATAGTCAACGTAAACAAGATTATTAACCAGACAGTTACATATTTGGTTTACAAGTACAGAATAGTCAACGTAAACTAGATTATTTACCAGTCAGTCACATATTTGGTTCACAAGTACAGAATAGTCAACGTAAACTAGATTATTAACCAGTCAGTCACATATTTGGTTCACAAGTACAGAATAGTCAACGTAAACTACATTATTAACCAGACAGTTACAGATTTAGTTGACATGTAGAAAGTGGTCAACATGGACTTAATTATTAACCAGACAGTTACATATTTGGTTGACAAGTAGGAAGCAGTCAGTGTGGACTAGATTATTAAGCCAGACAGTTATAAACTGAGTTGACAAGTAGGAAGTAGTCAGTGTGGACTAGATTATTAACCAGACAGTTATAAACTGAGTTGACAAGTAGGAAGTAGTCAGTGTGGAGTAGATTATTAACCAGACAGTTATAAACTGAGTTGACAAGTAGGAAGTAGTCAGTGTGGACTAGATTATTAACCAGACAGTTATAAACTGAGTTGACAAGTAGGAAGTAGTCAGTGTGGACTAGATTATTAAGCCAGACAGTTATAAACTGAGTTGACAAGTAGGAAGTAGTCAGTGTGGACTATATTATTAACCAGACAGTTATAAACTGAATTGACAAGTAGGAAGTAGTCAGTGTGGACTAGATTATTAAGCCAGTCCCAACTCACTAGACTTTAAAGCATCAGATATTTTTATGTGGTTTGCTGTGTTTTTCTTGTTTCTTCTATTTTCCTGCTAATGTGAGTATCAGCAGGCCTGCAGTAAGCTTATGGGCTCGCAGGGCTAAAACCCGTGATCTTACAGACTCAAATTGCTAAAACCTGGGGTTCAGTTTCCTGCATCGGATGGTGTTGATACCCCATAGTATATCTTTGTGGTAAAACAACAATAATAACAAAATAAATACACAATGTAAATATAAATAAACAAGAAATGTAATTTAACATAATAATAATAATTCTATTATTTTAAATTAAAATGTACATTTGTAAACTTGTTTTACTTAATTGTAGAAATATATATAGTAAGATTGATATGCAAAAGGTGTTAACAAGGTTCTTAGAGTTTCTAATGATCAAGATTTCTCTGCTGTATTAGACTAAAAAAAAAATTCTTTCTCAGGCTGCTCTGGAAGCAATGAATGACCTTGATTTGTTTGGTGGCCGAGGTGGCCCTACGTCTGTCGTGCATGTGCTAGCTGATGAAGCCCAGAAATGTCATGTAAGGAGTTGTTTCTTCTACGTTATGTTTCTTTCTTTAATATTTTTATATCTTTCTGTTTATTGAATTATAGTATTTTTTTTTTGAAGTTATAATTACTTGTGATATATGTTTGAATTTTTTTTCACCAGTTCCATATGAAGTTGTATATTTGTCTGTGTGTGTGTGTGTGTGTATATAT